CTATTTTTTGGTTGCAGCCGTCGTTGTTTTGGCGGGTCCGGGCTGGGGATTCGAACCCGCCACCTTAGGTGTATGTGGCTGGCGCCTTAGCCGCTTGAGCTATAGGCGCCAAGCCTCTTCTGATTTTTTTCACAAGAAGCCAGAAATATCCTGAATTTGACTTTTTGGCATGCTTTTGTTTATTCATTTTTTTAGATAACATCAAGCTGACACTGCCTGGGCCCAATAGAATACTGTTTATAGACATCTGGGGTTAGAGGTGTCCTCAGACCAACCTGTCTTGGAATCCTCTCTCTGTCACCTTCCAGCTTTGTGACTTTGGGCTCATTTAGTTTCTGAGTCTCAGTTTTGTCACCCTTAAAATAAAGTTGAGGAGGAAACAGTTCTTGTTTTACGGGGTGCATCCCAGCACATGCCCAGAGCTCATAGTGTGGCCTGTTGCTATCACGCCCTTCTTGACTGCGCCTGTGTTAAATATCCCTGAAGTTTCTTCTTACAGCCCTCACCCCTCATGCTGGAACCAAGGGCAAGGTGGGGGCACCTCTCAGGCCCTAGGATTTCCCTCCTTCACCATCCACTCTGAGTACCTGCTGCCTCTGCTTGCCTATAGTTTCAGCCTTGGAAAAGCCCCCTTAGAGACTGGCCTTCTTGTTCGGTCTCTCTGTGTTCCTCCCGTTTCTTGGGATTTACATGGAGAAGGGGAGAGCCCCTTTTCCTTCACTCCTGTGGGTCACTAAGACCAGTCTCCTGATTCTCGCTCCCTCTGTCCCTTTGCTTTGTTCTGCAGTGTTTGAATCTTGCCATGAAGTTGACTTTTTGTTGTATCAGGGTACTTTTCTCCTGAGCTGAGGGATGGGCTTACCTCCAGACATTTCACCTTGGGGAAGAAAGGGAGAGTTCAGAGCACTTTTCCCTATTCTTGGTAATAGATGCTGAAAACAGGGAGAGCACAGATGTGAGAAAAGGGGGCAGGGATGAGACACTAGGGAGGAGTGGGGACTGTGGCAACAGGTGTGCTCAGGCTTACCTGGAGGGAGCAGCCCCAGCCTTCAGTGCCTGGGGAGAGTTGTAAATCCAGACTTCATTACTTGAATGTTTTAAATCGTATTTATGTATTTTACTTTGGAATAGTTTTAAGTTTACAGAAAAATTGTAAGGATAGTTCAGAGGATTTCCATATACCTCCATCATTAATGGTCGTGTCTCCACGGTAAGTTCATCATAAGTAGGAAGCTAGCGTAAGCCTGTTGCTATACACTAAGCTCCACGCTTTATTTCACCAGTTTCCCATGAATGTCCCCTTTGTATTCCAAGTTCCAGTCTAAGATGCTACTTTGCACCAAGTTGTCAAGTCTCTTTAGGTGCCTCTGATCTGTGATAATTTCAGTCTTTCCTGAGGCAGGTGGATTGCCTAAGTTCACAAGTTCAAGACCAGCCTGAACCAAAGGGAGAACCCATCTCCAAAAATAACTGGGCACCTGTAGTCCCAGCTACTTGAGAGGCTAAGACAAGAGAATCTCTTGAGCCCAAGAGTTTGAGGTTGCTGTGAGACATGATGTCACAGCACTGTTACTCTGTTGCACCCAGAATAACAGAGTGAGACTCTGTCTCAAAAAGATGGGAAGGGGGGTTGGCGCCCATAGCACAGTGGTTCTGGAGCCAGCCACATATACCGATGGTGGCAGGTTTGAACCTGGCTCAGGCCAACTAAACAACTGCAACAAAAAAATAGCGGGACGGGAAGTGCCTGTGGCTCAGTGTTTAGGGTGCCAGTCCCATGTACCAAGGATGGTGGGTTCAAACCCGGCCCCTGGCCAAACTGCAACAAAAAAATAGTTGGGTATTGTGGCAGGTACCTGTAGTCTCAGCTGCTCAGGAGGCTGAGGCAAGAGAATCACCTAAGCCCTAGAGCTGGAGGTTGCTGTGAGCTGTGATGCCATAGCACTCTACCGAGGGTGACAAAGTGAAATTCTGTCTCTAAAAGAAAAAAAAATACCAAACACTCTGTGGGCCGCATTCAGTCACAGGCGGCCTTGTAATCCTCCTGGCGTTCTTGTGAGACGGGCATCTGCATGTGCACCTGCATTTCACAGATGAAGAAACCGAGGCACAGGGAGCTGGTGCAGGGACTGAGGCCAGGCGGCCTGACACCAGATACCACCCTCTCAGGGACCATCTTTGACCCTGTGGGATTGGGACATGAGGAAATATCATCCCTCAGGACATTGGGCTTGGAGCCAGGTTCCCCGGGAGGTGGTGGCACCATGACCAGAGGAGAGGACCCGGGCAGGGGTGAGTGTGGAGGGAAGCACATGTAGGTCAGTGGGTGAGGGTCTCAAGAGAGCCTGATGATGGGGATTCTACGAAACCCTGGGCAGGGAGAGTGTCATTCTGAACGGTGGTGGCACCAGATGGTCACGAGAACCACGTGAGTCTTACATACTTAGGCAGCAGGATGAAGAAAAGCAGGTATGGCTTTCAAAAACTTTAAAAAATTTTTTTTATTTTTTGACCAGGGCTGGGCTTGAACCTACCACCTCCAGCGTATGGGACCGACGCCCTACCCTTGTGAGCCACAGGTGCCCCCCTCAAAAACTTTTTTGAGACAGATTCTCACTTTGTCACCCTCGGTAGAGTGTCCTGGTGTCATAGTTCACAGCAACCTCAAACTCTTGGGCTCAAGTGATCCTCTTGCCTCAGCCTCCCGAGTAGCCACAATGCCCGGCTGTTATCTTAGAGATGGGGTCTTGCTCTTGCTCTGCCTGGTCTCAAACTCGTGAGCTCAAGCAATCCATCTGCCTCGGCCCCCAATTCAAAGAACGATTGTAAACTAAAAATTGTGTACTGAGTTGTCATTCTTTGTTACCATTGCTATGTGAAACATTATTTCAATTAGTAGCTTGAAACAATGTTTACTGTGGTGTGGCTGAGCTGGGTCCTGTGGCTCCGGGTCTCTCCCAGGCTGCTGTCCTCACAAGGCCCAATGGGGGCATGTGCTGCTTCCAGGGAAAACCGGTGGCTGTAAGCAGGATACAGTTCCTCACGGGTGGTTGGCTGGCGGCCGCCCTCAGTTCCTTGCCATGTCGTCCTCTCTGGTGTGACAGCTGGCTTCCTCAGAGCAAGCAACAGAGAGGGAAGTGGCAGGTGCAGGAGAGAGTGTGTGCGTATCCACAAATAAGCCAGTAAGAGAGGACACTAGCAAGGTGCAGGTGACAGCCTGTGAAACCTCGTCTCAGAAGTGACATCTCATCTCTTTGGCTGATGCCTTCATTAGAAGTGAGTCAAGGCCGGGAGCAGTGGCTCACGCCTGTAATCCTAGCCCTCTGGGAGGCCGAGGTGGGAGGATCACTGGAGCTGAGGAGTTCAAGACCAACCCGAGCAAGAGCAAGACCCCCTTTCTACTAAAAATAGAAAAATCAGTTAGGCATTGTGTACTTGGAAGGCCAAGGCAGGAGCCTAGGAGTTTGAGGTTGCTATGAATTATGACTCCATGGCACAGTAGCCTGGGGCAACAGAGTGAGACTCTGCCTCAAAAAAAAAAAATAGCGAGTCACTAGTTCTAGCCCACAATCTTGGGAAGGAGAGACAACATGAGGCCATACATACCAGGAGGATGAGGTTCCTCGGGACCAGCTAGGAGCTGCCAGTGCTCTGCTAAACACTTTACCCTCACAGCATTCCAAGGATCAAATGAACCCACCTTGCATCACTGTCCAGATAAGAAAAGAAGGGCTCAGAGGAGTACAGTGACTTGCCCAAGGTCACACAGCTCCTGAGGGTAGAGCTAAATTTAAACTCTAGTCTGATTCCCGAGTCCAGCTCCTGCTGTGCCCACTGGTGTTTCTCTGACTGTTGTTCCCAGATTCCCACTCTGGTGCTGCCTTAAGCCTTGGCTGAAATCCGATTCTCAGACAAACAGGACCAGACTCAGAGGGGCTGGGGAGTCAACAGTGACTTTCACCCAGGGGTTTTGGATGCTCCCCAGAATTTGAGAGCAGTACGTATACTGGACACTGAGGATGTAGTAACATGGAAATGGACTCTCTCTCTCTTTCTCACACACACACACACACAAGTTAGGCTTGGTTCTTAGGCTCTGAAGGAAAATGGATGTGTCGGTGTCCAATTTCAGTGATCCAGAGGAAGACGTGGCTTCATAAAGTTCATGGTCACTTTTGGGGTCCTCATGAGCAGAAGAAGATGAAGATGAGAGGGTTTAAGGAAGTACTTAGCACAGTGCATGTGTGTAGGAAGTATGTTGATAGATGAGTTGTGGTTTTCATTAACATTAATGAATATTAATGGTAATTATTGTTAACATTACTCGTTCCAGCGCAACAAAAACTGGACTTGCCAGTTTCCTTTAGAAAAGAGATTTTGCTTCTTTCCATTTGATCCAGTTTAGTGGTTTAGAAAATGGAGATACTCCGTTTGGGACTCATTGCTGGTTGTTTGGGCGGGGGAACCACGAATCTGTGGTTCAGTAATAATAGCTGGGTGAGTCTGGGTTCTGAGTCAATGCGTTTGGTTTCCACTTGGGACTCGGAGTTGTTCCTGGGCTTGTCCTCGAGCAGGACACCACCTGGCATCTTGGCCATCAGCAGGGTCAGCACACACCCTGGTCAATCCCCAAGACAGGCAGGAGGATGTGGGGACAGGGCGGGGGGCCTGATGAGCTGTTTTGTTCCTTGCAGATCAGGAGTGACACTTCGCAGATCTTGGAGGAAAACATCCCACTCCTTAAGGCCAAAGTGACAGAAATTCGTGCCGTCTACGCCAAAGTGGACCGACTAGAGGTATGGTCAGGGTAATGAAGGTTCTTTATAAGACTCACAGACCTGGTCTGCCTTTTACCCTCTCTTCTAAGATGCGGATCTTGCCTTGAGGGTGTCAGGTGTTGGGCCCCACAGAGGGGGTGCGTGATGAAAGAGGGAGCTGTACTCACATGATACTTTATACAAATTGACAAGTAAGAGTTTGTTTCCAGGCTCGGCCCCTGTAGCATAGTGATTACAGTGCCAGCCACATACACTGAAGCTGGAGGGTTCAAACCCAGCCTGGGCCAGCTAAACAACAATGACAACTGCAACAAAAAAATAGCTGGGCGTTGTGGTAGGTGCCTGTAGTCCCAGCTACTTGGGAGGCTGAGGCAAGAGAATCGCTAAACCCAAGAGTTAGAGGTTGCTATGAGCTGTGACATCATGGCACTGTACCGAGAACAACATAGTGAGACTCTGTCTCAAAAAAAAAAAAAAAAAAGAAAGGAAGAAAAAGAGAAGGAAAGGAAGGGAAGGAAGGGAAGGAAGACAATTCGGGTGTTTTATATGAGAATCTGTACTTTAGGCCAGGCATGGTAGCTCATGCCTGTAATCCCTGTACTCTAGGAGGCCAAGGTGGGTGGATTGCTTGAGCTCACGAGTTTGAGAACAACCTGAGCAAAAGTGAAACCCCATCTCTACTAAAAATAGTAAAAAACAAAAAACAAAAAAACTGAGGTAAGAGGATCACTTGAGCCCAAAGGTTGGAGGTTGCTCTGAGCTATGATGCCATAGCACTCTACCCAGGGCAACAGCTTAAGGCTCTGTCTCAAAAAAAAAAAAAAAAAAACCTGTACTTTAAGCTTCTTTTGAAAATTCAGGAGCTTTGGCTCAATGTCTGTAGTTCAGGCGGTTAGGGCGCCAGCCACATACACCAGAGCTAGGGAGTTTGAATCCAACCCAGGCCTGCTAAACAACAATGACAATTGTAACCAAAAAATAGCCGGGTGTTGTGGTTGGTGCCTGTAGTCCCAGCTACTTGGGAGGCTGAGGCAAGAGTATCACTTAAGCCCAAGAGTTTGAGGTTGCTGTGAGCTGTGACACCATGGCACTCTACCCAGGGCGACAGCTTGAGACTCTGTCTCAGAGAAAAAAAAAGAAAATTCAGAAGCTTCAATACCCTGGACCCACATTTCTTTAAACATATTAATATGTTTATTTTTCAAGGTATGAATACATAAAGCACACACATCTTAAGTATACAGTTCAGTGAATTTTTACATGTATTGACACTTACGTAAAGGCGACCCATATGGAGAGAGAGAGAACATTTCTAGCTCCTGGGCCACATTCTTACAAGAATGGATAGAAGCTGTGGCAGGTGCCCTGCAAATGGGCACGGGCTCTCTGGTTCTCTGCAGACCCCACCCAGCCCTATTGTCTCACTGCTGGCTTAGCTCACCTGTCTTTTACTTGCCTGGACTGAGACACTTAGCATCTCATTTCCTCCCTGTTGCCCTGCAAAATTGGTCCCCATCTCCCAGAGGCAAAGCATAAACTCCACAAGGTAAGCCACTTCTTTAAGGTCACACCACTAGCCACATGAAGTTGGGACTCAACTCAACATCAGTCGGAGTCCAGGCTCTTCATCAACCTGGGGCTGTGATTTTGGTATCCTGGTTCCCAGCACAGCAAAGGCCTGGGAGGCTGGGAGGAGCTTATGACTGTGGAGCAGTCATCTGGCCAGAGGGGCTGTGGGTCCTGTGAGCTGTAGAGGGAGGGGACAAGCATAGCAGTTGGCACTGAGTTAGCAGAGAATTAACATTCTTGTCAGCAGAGAATGAAGCAGGAATATAATTAAAACTTTGCCCTTGGAATAGCTGATTCATTTGAATTTTATTCCACACATTTGAAAGAGGAAAGAAAATGTGAAGATTTGCAGCCTGGTTCTCGTCTTGCCTGGGCTGGCCCAGCTGTCAAGCCCACTTCCTTTCTGAGCGTTCAGTCCACTGACACTGACTGAGGGCCAGGGGGACACTCAATGAAGCATCACCATATTGGCTTCCAGTGTCACAAATCACCACAAATGTTGTGGCTTTAAGCAACATGGATTTGTTAGCTTATAGCTCTGGGGGTCGGAAACCCCAAATGTGCCTTATGGGGCTAAAATTAAAGTGTAGGCAGGTTGGTTCCTTCTGGAGACTCTCAGAGAGAAGCTATTTCTGCATCCTGTGGTGCCTGCCCCCTCCCCCTTCAAAGCCCACAGCCCGACATCTTCTCTGACCTTCTGCCTCCCCCAGTAAGGACGCTGTGGCTACATCAGCCCACCAGGATAATCCAAGGTAACCATCATTTATGCTCCTTAATTTAATCACACCTGCTGAGTCCCTCAGAAGGTCACACTGTTCACACAGCCTGGGGCCTTAAGCATCTTTGGGAGCCATTACTTTGCTGCCCACAGTGACCCAGGATTTGGCTTTGCTAGGCAAGTGCTGTGAAGGGAAGTAGCACCTGAGCCGTGGGGTCTGCAGGGTGCTGGAGGGTGCAGGCAAGAGCAGTGCTGGGGGAGGGGAGGGGCGTGCCTGGGACACTGGAAGAACCCTGGGAGGCCACACTGCAGGGAGTGAAGGGGATTCTGACCCAAGTGGGGCTGGAGACACTTGCGTCCAAGGTCAGAACTTCGGTCTTCATCCTGACGGACAGTGCAGCTTGTGGTTAGGGGTGCCAGCTCCAGAGCAGACTTCTCCGCCTCAGTGTTGTCGACCCTTTGGGCTAGAAATTCCCAGTGGTGGGGATGTCCTGGGCATGGTGCGACACTTTGCAGCTACTCTGGATCCTCTACTCCCAGGGTACTGTTAGCACCCCTCCCTCCACGCTGCCCATGTGACAACCAGACATCTCCAGAGGTAGACAGGAGTCGCCCCTGTTTGGGAAATACTACCCTGGGGTCACATGGGCTGCCTCATCCCGGGGGTGACCCCATGGGTCTGATCCTCATTACCCTATACTAGTGAGGGTCTTGCATCTAAACTTTGGGTGACCCTGAGATGGGTGCAGGAAACACAGCTGTGAGGAGATACCTGGACCTGAGAGTGGCCAGCAAGAAGCCTAGGACAGGGACTCAGGTTGGGGGAGACAGGTCAGCTGCTCAAACACACTCAGAGGGGCCTGGCCAGAGCTGGAACAGAGCTTCCCATGTGTGACCTTGACCCGGGGAGGGAATGGCTCCTGCAGAGCCCCAGAGGCAGGAAAGGGCAAGCTTTTCAGGTGCTTTGGGGGCAGGAAGAAGAACTCAAGGTCAGGGATGAGCCTGGAGCTATGGATGTGGCTGAAGGTGTAAGACAAAGGTGTGGAGTTTGGACCCTGTTCTGAGAATGACAAGATCCATCAGAGGGATTACAGTTGCTATACGCATATTCTCCCCCCTCCTCAGGCAAAGTCCAAAGTGATTATCCTTAAAATGTACTATTAGAAGCCGGGCCCAGTGGCTCACACCTATAATCCTAGCACTCTGGGAGGGTGAGGCAGGTGGATTGCTTGAGCTCATGAGTTCGAGACCAGCCTGAGCAAGAGTGAGACCCTGTCTCTACTAAAAATAGAAAAACTGAGCATTGTGGTGGGCGCCTATAGTCCCAGCTACTTGGGGCAAGAGGATCCCTTGAGCCCAGGAGTTTGAAGTTGCCGTGAGCTATGACGCCATGGCACTCTACCCAGTGTGACAGGGCAAGACTCTATCTCAAAAGAAAAGTACCATTCGGAAGCTTTGGGTATATTTACAGGATTGTACAACCATCACCACTACTTGATTCCAGAACGTTTTCCCAAAAGAAACTCCATGCTTGTTAGGAACCATTCCCCACCCCTGGGTCCCAGAAACCACTTAACTGCTTACTTTCTGTCTCTGGGGATCTCACGCCAGTGGAGTGATACCACATATGTCCTTTTGTGTTCGTCTTTCACTCAGCATAACATTTTATGGTTCACCCATGCGTGCGTCAGTATTTCACTCCTTTTTATAGCTGAAGAATATCCCATTACATGGATATACCATATTTTATCTGTCTACTCATTATCTGATAGACATTGTTTGTGTCTACTTTTTGGCTATCCTTTTCTTTTTGAGACAGAGCGTCAAGCTGTCCCCCTGGGTAGAGTGCCGTGGCATCACAGCTCACAGCAACCTCCAACTCCTGGGCTCCAGCGAGTCTCCTGCCTC